TATGTTAAAGATAACGAGACATAATTTGTGATTATCTGTCTTTACGTGGATGATATGATCATCACTGGTAGTAGTGATAAGGTGATTAAAGCTACGAAAACCGTGTTATCAAATAACTTTGACATGAAAGACTTCAGAATAGCAGATGTAATACTTGGTATGAGAATCATCAAGACACAAGACAATTATGTGTTATTTCAAAGTCAATATATAAAACAAATCTTAGAGAGATTTGACAAAGATGAAAATTTTGAGGCCAGAACTCCAATTGATATTAATTCTCATTTGAAAAAACATCACGGTGAATGAGTTCAACAATTAGAATATTCCATAATTATAGGAAGCTTAATGCATCTTATGAATAGCACAAGACCGGATATTACTAATACCGTGGATAGGCTTAGCAGATGTACGAACAATCCAAGTTTTGATCATTGGAAGGTCATAATTAGGCTCCTTGGATATTTAAGGTACACTAAGAATTATGAATTGCACTATACAAGATATCCAGCAGTATTAGAAGGATATTCGGATGCGAACTGGATCTCATATTCGAATGAGAATAAATCCACAAGTGGATATATATTCGTTGTTGGTGGAGGTGTTATTTCATGGAAATCTTCTAAGCAAACGTGTATTGCAAGATCCACTATGAAATTTGAATTTATAGCTTTAGCACTTGTATGTAAAGAAGCTGAGTGGCTTCAAAACTTTCTTGAGAATATTTCTATATGGCCCAACCCGGTGTCTAGAATTTGCATACATTGTGATAGTCAGTTTGCAATAGGAAGGACAAAAAGCTGTGTTTATAAGGAAAAGCCGCGACACATCCGCAGACGACACAACTCCGTTAGAAACTTAATGACAGACACTACAAGAAAATCTTCATATAGCTACGGAATTTGCGACAGAATTTTTCCGTCGCAAACAAGTTACGACAGAATTTGACGGTTTTGCGACGGAATGCGAAAATTTTTATTCCGTCATAAACAGTCGCAAAATTCGTCACAGATTGCGACGGAATGCGACAGAAATATTGTCGTCGCAACAACAAACATTATTTGCGACATAAATTTTAATATCTACCGAAATTTGCGACGGATTGCGATGAAAATTTCCGTCGTATATATTAATTTTTTTTAATTTATGTTATTTATTTTTAGATTTGCGACAGAAAGTTCTGTCACAAATCCTAATTTCATTTTTTTGTTATTTTCGATGAAAATTTTCAAATTTTCGCGGTTTATTTTTCGTTTTGCGACGGATTGCGACGGAAGTTTTCGTCACAACACTTAATAAAAACTGCGACTTCGTCTTTCTCCTCCAGACATCGAAATTTCAAGAAAAAAAATCTCATTCTTCTCCAATATTCTCCAACAAATTGTTTTTCTTCAAAATTCGTCAAGGTATGTGTATATATATATCGTGTATATGGATATGTATATGTGAATATATGTGTATATATATGTGTGTTGTGTATATATATATATATATGAATGTGAATATGTGTATGTGTATGTGTAAGTGTATCTTTGTATATGAATGTGTATGTGTTTATGTATGTATATCTGTATGTGTGTTTGTTTATGTATGTGTGTTGTGTATGTATGTGAATGTGAATGTGAATGTGTATGTATATATAAATATGTATGTGTGTTTATGTGATGTGTATGTGAATATATATATATATATATGTATGTGTATGTGTATATGTGTGAATATGTATGAATGTGTGTTTATGTATGTGTGTAATGTATATATATGTGTATATATATGTATGTTTATGTATGTGTATGCAAATTTATATATGTATATATATGTGTATGTGTATGAATATATGTGTATGTGTATATATATATGTATATAATTTTATGTGTATATGTGTAATGTATGTGTATGCGAATATATGTATATGTGTATATGTATAATATTTTATTTTTAAAATTTTAAAAAAAAATATTTGCGACGGATTTTTCTGTCGTAAATCCGTCGCAAAACGCAGATTTTGTCCGTCGCAAACGACTGTCAATTTTTTGCGACAACGATATACGGACGGAAATTATTCCGTCGCTTTCTGTCGCAAATTTGTAATTGCAACGAATTTAATTTATATTTGAGACGGATTTTTCCGTCGCAAATTCGGATGTTTCTTATAGTGAGATGGAGTTATATCTATTGATTTTGTGAGATCAAAAGATAATTTGGCTGATATTCTCTGACCAAAAGCCTTAACAGAGATCAGTTAGAAATATTATCGAGGGGATTGGGATTAAAGCCCATAGAATGACAAACCACCATGATGGCAACCCAATATATCTGGACAAACCATCAATATTAGGTTCAATAGGATAACCGAATTGTGGGGGGTCGATGGAATCACTCGAGACTGATGTCTCTTCATATTCCTATGATAAGAGTGATACAAATTGGTAAGTTTAAGTTTATATTCCTAAAGATTCTCTTATCTCCTACGAGAGTGGATTATATTGAGATACTCTCAAAGAGAAATCTCCTATATCAAATATGAAGTGGGTCGCTTCTATGAGAATGACAAAAGGGGTAGTTCTCTAGAGTACTTGATGATATCTACCAGGTGCTGCCATAGGGTCATAATGGGCGTAACAAATGGACTAATGAGAGAGAGGGAGGTGTTGTGTGAGTACTGTTGTCTTGGTGTATACAAAAGTTGAATAGTTCAAGACACCGCGTTCACTGTTTAGCAAGTACATCCGATAGTATTTCACTATGGAAGGTTCAAAGGTAAAACTACCTTTTCGGATACAGTAAACTCTCAATGAGCGAATTTTCATTGCACATCATTTGCATACAATGTATTAGTTGCATGAGATGCATTTAGGTTCACCTAACTCAAGACCCTATTTTGATTCTTGTGGAAGATTGTTGGATCTAGATTTATTTGATAGAATCAAAATGAGCCTAGCCCGTGAAAAGTCCGGTTCATGGAAAGTTCTAGAAACTTTAATAAAAAATCTGCATAATATTTTTTAGGGGTAATCGCATATAAATACCTGAACTTTTACAAAATTCCTAAATAAATACCTGAATTATAAATTTTCTAAATCAATACCTAAACTTTTCAAAACTTCCATATAAATACTCAAACTTTTAAAAAACTTCCAAATACAACAATTTTCGTTGATGGCGTTAATCGACGAAGTGATCAGATTCCATTATAAATTAAACGACGTTAATGGAATTTGGTTGTATTCAGAAGTTTTTTTAAAAGTTTGAGTATTTATATGGAAGTTTTTAAAAATTCAGGTGTTTATTTGGGAGTTTTATAGTTCAGGTATTTATTTGAGAATTTTGTAAAAGTTCATATATTTATATGCGATTACCCCTATTTTTTATTAATTTTAAAAATCAAATCAGATTCAACTTTGTAGAAAATCTATCAATATATACTTATATATATATATGTGTGTGTGTGTGATTAGGAGATTAATAATCGCCCAAATTTGTTGTGAACATTTCAAAATTCTAATACCGAAACTAGTTTAATATCGACAGAAATGTTTTATATATATAGTAGTCACCGCCGTTTGTAGGAAACAATGAATAGTATATATAAAATACATATTGTCATCATAATGAATTGTATAAGTTATAAACTTTTTTCTGCATTAGTGAAGTTGGTGAATGAAAACGATTCGTTTTCATGTTCCAATGATTTCGCCTTTCTTGGTATGTAACTTATTTTCCACCTTACGCGTGACTAATATTATATGTTACATACTTACATGCACATACACACATATACGTACATATGGCGGTGTCTGAATGTATAGGCGAAAATCCAAACTTCCAAAAAGATTGTAACATGAAAAGAAGAAAACTCCATGGAAACCAAGGTTCCATGCACATGGCTCTGACGTTTCATCCCAAAACTCGAGCGGGTTTCAGTGGGATTGCAAGTACAAATGAAGATTAAAAAAATAGATCGTTGCAAAATTTTTCAAAAAAAAAATATATATATATATATATATATATATATATATATGTATTATGGATGCTCGAGGGATTGCAAGTACAAATGAAGATTAAAAAAATAGATCGTTGCAAAATTTTTCAAAAAAAAAATATATATATATATATATATATATATATATATATGTATTATGGAAATGGTTTTCAAAATAACAGAAATTTCGAAAACGCTTTTTTAGGAGAAAAATAATGAAGAAAATGTTAGGGATGGACTGATAAGCATCATAGTGGAGAGGAGAGATGGGTCGGAGGGAACGGTGATGTGGATCCGATCCACGTGGCATCTCTCCACGTCAGCGTTTAATCCACGTGGCTTCCCCAATGCCGTGTGGGTCCCACGACGACCGGTGTCGCCACCACCCTTCGTTGCCCCCAAGTTCCGTCACGCGATTTATATATATATATATATTGCCGCAGCATTTTTAGTAAAATTTATGAAAGTCTTCCATTCCATGCCTCTAATTTCGTGAGCTTTGTTTAGATACATACACTTTAACGTTTATACACGGAAAAAAATAAATTACAAAAATTCTTGTCGTTATTTCATGCATTGATGGGTTTTTTTTTGGGTCAAAATTCATGCATTGATGGTTGGTTTTAAAAAAAATAATTAAATAAGTATAAATGCCATTCCGTACCGATTGAGGATATAGCCGGTAGAATTTTGTTCGTCCCGATACTATTTAGCTTCGTCCTCAAGCCTTACCATTTACAAACACACCCGTCACGCATCATTACCTTTTATTCTAAAAGGTCTCACTAAGACGGTCTAACGCAGTTATAAATTATAAATATATATAATAATAATAATAATAATATATTACCTATGACTTGAAAAGTATAGCTATCGGATATGATGATACCAATAATAATAATAATACGTCTAAAAAAATTATATAATAATGTTGTTGATGAGAATTTCAACGCACATGGATCTTCTCTATATAAACCATCACAACACTTCCCGTCTTCTCTCACAACCAAAACCAAAACTAAAGATTCTTCCTCTCTCAAACCATACAAAAAAAACTTCAGATTCTACAGAAAAAAAAAAGAGCGAAACTCGTTCTGAAACATCTGTAGAAACCCAGAAATTCGAAAGCGAAATTAATGGAGAATATGTTTCGGATGGTGGGCCATGAGGATTTCGCCTCTCGCCGGTGCATTTGGGTCAACGGACCGGTCATCGTCGGAGCAGGACCGGCCGGTTTAGCCACGGCGGCGTGTCTCCGCGAACAGAACGTCCCCTTCGTCGTGCTCGAGAGAGCAGAATGCGTCGCCTCTCTCTGGCAGAACCGCACTTACGACAGGCTCAAGCTCCATCTCCCCAAGCAATTCTGCCAATTACCCAAAATGCCCTTCCCTGACGACTTCCCCGAGTACCCCACGAAGCGTCAGTTCATCCAGTACCTTGAGTCCTACGCAAAGCGGTTCGAGATCAGTCCCGAATTCAACGAGTGTGTTCAGTCCGCCAGGTTCGACGAGACCAGCGGGTTGTGGCGTGTCAAGACCGTGTCGACCACCGAGTCGAGTCGGAACGAGGTCGAGTACATTTGCCGGTGGCTCGTTGTCGCCACCGGCGAGAATGCTGAGCGCGTGATTCCGGAGATCGACGGATTGAATGAATTCTCCGGCGAGGTGATTCACGCCTGCGACTACAAATCCGGAGATAAGTTCGCGGGAAAGAGAGTTCTCGTCGTCGGTTGTGGAAACTCCGGCATGGAAGTGTCTCTCGACCTGGCAAACCACTTCGCTATGCCTTCCATGGTCGTTCGAAGCTCGGTAAGTGATAAAGTCTCCAACTTTTCGTTTAAAAAAAAAAAATCGACAGTTTGGGTTTAATTTGGAGGATTGGTGTGATTGATCAAATGGATTTCTCTGATAACAGGTTCACGTGCTGCCGAGAGAGATCGTGGGGAAATCGACGTTCCAGCTTGCTGTGACGATGATGAAATGGCTTCCTCTATGGCTCGTCGACAAGCTATTGTTGATATTGGCCTGGTTCGTGCTTGGGAACATCGAGAAATACGGTCTGAAAAGGCCGGAGATTGGTCCGATGGAGCTCAAGAACGAGAAAGGCAAAACTCCAGTGCTCGACATCGGAGCTCTGGAGAAGATCAGATCGGGACAGATCAAAGTGGTTCCAGGGATCAAAGGATTCAATGGAAAGCAAGTCGAGCTCGTCAACGGAGACAGACTGGACGTTGACTCGGTGGTTCTCGCCACTGGGTACCGCAGCAACGTACCTTCTTGGCTTCAGGTGAGAAACCGTTGTGAATCTGTACGAAAGATGAGATTTTGAAAACCGGGTCGGTCTTGTTTTGTCTGAAATGAGCTGATAGCGTTGGCGTTTGCGTTTGAAACAGGAGAGTCAGTTCTTCTCGAAGAATGGGTTTCCGAAAACGCCGTTTCCAAACAGCTGGAAGGGGAAATCGGGACTTTATGCGGTGGGGTTCACGAGGAGAGGGCTCTCAGGCGCGTCTGCAGACGCTGTCCGAATCGCTCAAGACATCGGCTCTGTCTGGAAACTCGAAACCAAACAGCCCAGGAAACGATCCACCGCTTGTCATCGCCGATGCATTTCTCAGCAGTTTTAATTAATCAACAATTTATATATATATATATATATATTTTATATATATATATAAAGAAGTATTTCAGTAGAGGAGATTGGATCAGGATTCAGGACAGATAACAGATAGAGAGACAGAGGTCCTGAAGGCCCAAACTAAACTGGGTGTATATGTTTTTTTATTTATTACCTCCACTTGTTTTTGGGCGTTTTGTAAATCTGGGGAAGATTGCGGTGTTTCTTTTTCTTTAATTTCATGATTTTTTTAAATGTACAATCATTCCCTTCTTTTATATTTTCTGATTGACTATGAATTTTGCGACACAAAAGTATAGAATAATAGATTACAAAATCATACGATTTGCAGATTTTGTGTGACTCGGTTTTAGTTTACTATTTTATTTTTTTTATCTTAGTTTTAGTTTATGGAGTCGAATTTCTTTATCTTCCTCGTGAATTATTCTTGGAAAAATGAACCTTGGAAAATTAATACTAATGATCTCATTAACTGAATTTTTGTCACGAGTCACGACAAGATTAAATACCACTCAAAGGCGCCTGAATTATATAAAAAAATTTCTTTCAGAAATGACAAGAGTTCCGTGACATTCAGTTGTAAATTTTGTACATACAATCCGAAAAAATAAAACACGAGCTTATGTGTTCTTGGCAATTTACACTCCTAGACTATGTGTTACAAAGATCTAGAGATGGCAGAAGACGACTCCATTCAATTACAATGACTCAATGCCAATTATATATATATACATATATATATATATATATGCGCGTTATTTTTTTATTGTATATGTAAATGTATCCGGGTGTCTATGAAAAATGTGTTATATATCATTTTTTTTTGTTAATGTTGGAAACCACCGCAATTATCCAACCCTTACCTGCGGAGTCGAACTGGTCACCACCCGCGCCTAACGATCTCAGAGAGATCTGACCACCAGGTGCGCCTAACGCTCGACCACCACGAGATGGTCTAAGGCGCGCGGAGTAAACCCCACGTCCACACACACGAACTTACAACACACGCGTGGAAGGGTAAATCAGTAGTAACTGACAAGGCAACAGGTGAACGGACAAAGAATCGAACCTTCAACCTCTCGATATGTTGACTATGCTCCTTACCAAATCATTTGGGTTTCTCCGTTATATATCATTTTTATCCCATTAAACATTCATAATAATCTGTTTGTTTGACCAAACTTACTGGTAAGCTTAATATCTGGAGGCCTCTGGCACATGCATGGCATGAAAACAGACAAATCAAATAAACCAAACTTCTTTTATTTTAATTAATTAGATACACACAAAAATTGAGGTATTATCTTTGGGTTTCTTACAGTTGATGGAAATAGGATTTCTTTAAATATAAAGTGTAATGTGTTGGGTCCAAAGAGTGTAAAAATGAGATCTTAAACTGTCACATCAAAGCAGATAGGCAATTTCCAATGTCGCAATGACAAAGGCATAGTCCAATTTGAACCACAAAACATTTTATATTAAATTTTTTATCCACGTAAAATCATATTTTTTTCCTATGATTTTAATCTTAGAAAATGGTTAATCCCACAAAAAACTCCAAATTTATTAAAATGATTCATATAAAACCCTTAACTTACAATTTCTCACAAAAAAACCCTGAATTTGATAAAAATTTCTACAAAAATTACAAGCTTATAATTTTTTCTCATATAAAACCTTTGACTTGTTTCACCAAAATTTTTGATGATGTGGCATGACAAATTATTGTCATGACCCTAACTGAGTTGACACGTCAGCGTCACATCATCATTTTAAAATTAAATATTTGATAAAAATATATATATACAAATATATATATATATATATATAAATTTATACATTTGATTAAAATGTATTTATATATATGTAAATTTATATATTTATTAAAATATTTGTATATTTAAAATTTTAAATTAAGGGTATTTTTAATAATACCCCGTTTGGGCTATATGGAAGGAATGCATATTTCATAGACAACTTTCTTTATATTATACGTTTATGCAAATAATTTCATAAATAAACATACGTGAAAGTGCCATGCATATAGCATAAGAAAACAACCTAACAAGTCAATTCCATAAGCAGAAAATGTTGAAGTTCAACGACACAAACCCTTAAATTTGCTATACCTACGATGATATCTATATATAGGACGAAGAAGAAATTTGACATGATGTGTATATATATATACACGTATTTATTTATATGTAACTATCACATATATGCGAATCGGTTTCAAATTAAGGCCATGAAGTAACAGGCACTTCATGTTACCTATTCAGAAAAATACAAGCCAAGATGTTGAATTTGAGACATGGCCCACATATGATGATATCCTTTACTTGTCAACTCACTCATGAAGTTCAATTAAGACAGAGGTAAAACCCTAGCTACCATGCATGGCCTAGATGTCATATATATATATATATATATATATATATCAACTCCTAGGAGACATAGGTAGATATACGTCGATTTACCTTCATAATAGCTATCATTCATTTACTATTTTTTCAAGGTTTACATATACTGTTTTAAAAGTCTTCGTATCTCTTTTAATTACGTGTCCCGCAATTCCATTGAATTTGTATGAGTAACGAGTTAGGCCGATTCCGTATTGTTTATCTATATATCATACGGTGAAAAAAATTATCATATATCATGTTTGTTTACATTTTATTTTACTGCAAGTGAACCTTCTCGAATATAACATTGCACCTACGTATAGATCTCATGATTTATAAACAAAATAGTCTACGTTCCATTGTTTATTGCAGTTTTTCGTCTTTCTTAGTCCATTAAATTGCATTTCACAAATATTATATTTATACATATATATATATATATATATGTGTGTGTGTGTGTGTGTATTTGATGTAAAACCATATATGAAAGTACGGTCAAATTAAATATCGATTTGTGAATTGCCTTGAACATATATATAGGTGACAGAGAGTAAATGTCAACACATGGGGATGGTCGCAAATTTCCATTGCCAAAATCTATCATGTAAGCTCAAAGGGCCCATATTGCCCATCTTGTACAATACCAAAGTCTGCCAAAAAAAACTAGGGTTTGTTCATTTTCACATGGCTATGTCTGTCTGGCAGATGAACTATAACCATCTCAGAAATTCTCTCTATCTATTTTTGGAAGATACCAAATCAAGGATACTGTAATTCCCCGCATCTGTTTATTTTCTAATCTATAATCTTATTAAACCCTAGCCCGATCAATTCACATTAACAAAGAATTACACGGATCGTATATACGTTTTCTTCTTCTATTGAGGTTTTCACTTAGACTATATAGATACATATATAATCTTGATTATTACAGATCGAGTATATATATCTATGGCATATATACATACAGATATCTATGATTAGAATTATAGTTGTATGTGTATACATGCACAAACACAAAGATATATATAGACATAAGAGTTTATATGGAAATACACAAAAAATTTGTGATTGTATGAGTTTGGAGCTCCAACTACAAACACCTGAGGGAAAACTCCAGATGAGTCGGTTGACTATATATTAGACCCTTTAACCTCATGGTTGAGGGCTTGAATCCTCTTAGCTTTTTCACCTATGAGTTTGTCAGCTATGAACAATCTAGACTGGTTTACATCTTTCGTGTGGTTACAGACTATTACACGAGAACGGGGTTTACCTAGTACGCACCGAAGGGTAGTGGCTGTGGGTTCCCATGTTATAAAAAAAAACTACAAACACCCATGCACTTTGATCAACTTAATTAGAGGGTACTCACAAGTATTAATGCGTGTACTCAAATGCCTTTAATTATTTCTTTTTTTATTAGTTTGATAGTATATGGGATTTATAAAGTGGGTCCAATTTGAGTGTGCACATAGATATAGAGAAGCAGCCAAAGATTTCGAGGGTAAAAGACAAAGGAAAATGTTGGTGAGGAATCGACAAAAAATTGCAACAACAGAGTTTAAATGAAACCCCATTTCGACATGCCAACGAGTCGATGCATGACATTACATAAATGTACAATATTGTAGGACATTATATCTCTATAAGTCTCTGATGAACTTGTTCTTTGGTCTCTCGTCAGTGTCAATTCTCACAAACCCTATACGGTCATTATTTTATAATATATGTATATATTAAGATAAAATATGAATATATAATATCCCCTTGAATCTTGTCGTCCGTACGTCCGAGAATATGATTTCCCAATTTAAATTCTGATTTACCTTGCAAATTAATGAGATACGATATCTATTCCTATATATTGCATAATATGGTTTTAGCATTTAGCTATAATTAATCTTTTCATATAATCATGTTCAGATCTCTACAAAAATTTTAGGGAGATTAACAAGTTTTTATAAGGAAATTGTCCAAACCTTGGTGGCCGAGTGAATTAAGCAGATAAAACATAATCTCATCCCGAAGGTATTCTGAATTTTTAGATGATGATTTTTTTAAAGTATTTTCTCTATTTTTCTTATTTATTTAATTTATTTTGTACACATTTTATTTAATTATATATGCTGGACGGTATCAATGATTCTCGAAATTATTTTGGTCTGATGTGGTCAGTTTCTAATCCAACTTTGGATATATCTCGACAGTCATTGTCATATATTGTATAATTGTATTTATTGAATGCCTTTTAATTGTTCCTTGTTTTTTCTTACAAAAAAAAAATCCAAAAATAACTGACAAAGGAGAAGCCCATCATTCTTCAACAGATGATTCCTTCGAAAATCCTTGGACCCAAACATAAAAAGATCTTAAAAAGGAAGAAAAGCCCATTAAGCCCAATTAAAAGCCCAGAGAATAAAATTACAGAGTATAAAAAAGAAAAAAAAAAGGAAAATTGAGAGGAGGAGAAGAACCAAATAGAGAGTTTCTGGAAAGCTGTACCTGTTGTAGAGTGCTACAAATCGCCATGGCAGTCGCATCTAACCTCACGAATCTGCCATCGAAATCGCTGGTTCCAGTTCGCTCGCTCTCTTCCTCTTTCTTCCACGCACCCGACATCGGGAATTCCGTCAGATTACCGTTGAAGAGATGTCCGGAATCGACATCAATCGGGTTCAAGTCACGGAGATCAACCGGGTGTTCTGTTAGGGTCATGTCTTCTTCTTCTTCTTCTTCTTCGTCTTCCTCGTTCGGATCGAGACTTGAGGAGAGCGTGAAAACGACTGTGGGGGAGAACCCTGTCGTTGTGTACTCCAAAACCTGGTGCTCGTGAGTTCAATTTCGTTGATGGATTTTTTTTTTTGAAAAATTTTGCGTCGTTGGGAATAGATTTGCTGGTTTTTTTTTTAATGGATTTTGGTGCTTTGTGTTGTGAAGATACTCATCTGAAGTGAAGTCATTGTTCAAGAGGCTCGGAGTTCAGCCACTGGTTATTGAATTGGATGAACTTGGTATGTCCACATTGCATTATTTTCTTGTAAAGCTCCTTAGTTTAGTTTGCAAAATTGAATCTGTTATGGTAAAATGAATACGTATCTCAAGGACTGATGAAGGAGCTGGTGTATTAAGGGTTTCGATTCAATGGAGGATTACTTGTTAGAAGTGCCTATATCTCTTGTTTTTCCTTCAAATTGAAATTGAATTAGTTCATGTGTTCATACTGGAATCCTATTGCCTTTGGAAATTGTTTTTGTGTGCAAAATAGAATGAGTTTTGTCACTAGAATCCTCTTCAGAACTCTGGGCGTCAATCTGAGTCTGGATTGGCTACAGTTTGCAAGAACGATTCAGCTTTTTTTAGATAAATGCTCGGATTAGTGGTAGTGGTTCAGTTGTTGTAGAGAGATATTAGTTCTTCGGTTATATTCTCTAGTAATCAACCAATCCGTCTCTGTTGCAATGTATGCGTATCAATCTGAAATCGTTGAGAAACCTGAATTTTGTTGGTTTTATACATGAAAGGTCCACAAGGGCCACAACTGCAGAAGGTGCTGGAGAGACTCACTGGACAGTATACCGTTCCAAATGTTTTCGTTGGTAAGTGGTTCTTTAATCCTTTTGCATATGTGCTCGGTCAATCGATGGCTGAGAATTGGAAGTTGAAGTTTTGTTTTCTTCGCATTATTATGAAAATTCCCGTATGCATATTAGCTGTAGAATTTATTTTGGGCCATTGCTTTACGGTTCTAAAGAACCTAATTAATCCTTCTATTGTACTCTGGTTCATGATTAGGAGGCAAGCACATCGGCGGCTGTACAGGTACTTTGTTTCTCTCTGGCCTCGATTCCTCATAGATTTCCGCAGTTGTTGGAAAAACCTTCTTGTTTTTCTTCTTTGCATAGTACATATGCTTATATAGTCTTATCGCAATTCTTGCTTGGTGTCAAGACTTATTTTTATACGAAGTCCCCATCTTTTTTTTTTCTTTTTCTGCATTTGCATGTGGTGTTCTTGGCTCTTATTGAGTAAAATTTGGTAGAATTCGGGTGCTGGCATCGATTTCTCATTGCATCTTGAACAGAAACAGTCTAATTCCCTTGAAAGAGTAATGTATGGGGTGGTTCACAAGTCCGAATTAGCTTTTTTCTTTAGGTCCTCTAAAAACAAGAAACTTTAGTTTTCGGTTTTACTCTGAATTAAGTTGAGTTTACATAACTTGTCTGCATCATGCAGATACCCTGAAGCTGTACAGGAAAGGAGAACTTGAACCCATGTTAGCTGAAGCCAACGCTCAAAGCCCACAGAGCTAAGAGATGATGATGATGAAGCGACATATGCTCGCTGTCTTGTTGAAAATTCGGTGATGTCGTAAGAGCTCGTTAAGGTTAATCTCGAACTCATTCATTTAGTAATCTCAAGAACTTTCTTTAGTAGTAGCCATTTATTTAGTTCCCAATGGCATAGTTACATGCAAAGTTAATGTCCTTTTGCTCTGAAAGCTCTAAGCTTTGTTTTGAACATGCCATGTCTGTACGGTCCAATCCAATGATGCTACAATTCCCATTTCAATCTTTTGGTTTATCTCAGGAAATGTAAAAAAATTTATATGTGACAATGAGCTAAAAACCCGGGTTTTAATAGTACAATTCGATTACATTCGGATTCGTGATCTAAATATTTTCACAAGTGATGGGGCAAGAATTCAGAAGAAGAGAGAATAGACTAATGGGCAAGGCACAAACGGTTCCATTACAGGCAAATAGACCTTTGATGAATAATTCTCATTTAACTTCTTCGACCTCGTCCAGTGCGTAATTGTTGGTCGATACGTTGGCGTAGTTCACCTTCGGGAACCGGACCACAACCGGGTACCTCGTCTTCGGATCCTGCCCCATTTTCACAACCCCGGTCATTTCACAATATTACCCAGGCGAGATCTGGACCGTTAACAGGGGTCGAAGCACATTACCTGATCAACGGCCACTACTGATCCCACGTTCTTGTACCAGTATGACTCTTTCCTCAGAATCTTCACCTGCATATGTTTCCACGTTTCTCAATTTTCGAAATGCCCCCATAACTCCTAATTCTCACCAAAAAGTCCCGAATCTTTCTTCCAAAAATCCATAAGATTTAACGTTTGAAGAGCTGACCTTGGCGCCTCTCTTGGGGCCGATCGGAGGCGGCTTTGGCTTGGTGGCAGCTTCCGCCGCCGGAGCTGCGGTGGTTGCCGGAGCTTCCTCCGCCGCTGATTGTTTATCTATATATCATACGGTGAAAAAAATTATCATATATCATGTTTGTTTACATTTTATTTTACTGCAAGTGAACCTTCTCGAATATAACATTGCACCTACGTATAGATCTCATGATTTATAAACAAAATAGTCTACGTTCCATTGTTTATTGCAGTTTTTCGTCTTTCTTAGTCCATTAAATTGCATTTCACAAATATTATATTTATACATATATATATATATATATATGTGTGTGTGTGTGTGTGTATTTGATGTAAAACCATATATGAAAGTACGGTCAAATTAAATATCGATTTGTGAATTGCCTTGAACATATATATAGGTGACAGAGAGTAAATGTCAACACATGGGGATGGTCGCAAATTTCCATTGCCAAAATCTATCATGTAAGCTCAAAGGGCCCATATTGCCCATCTTGTACAATACCAAAGTCTGCCAAAAAAAACTAGGGTTTGTTCATTTTCACATGGCTATGTCTGTCTGGCCCTGCCTCTTCCCCCGCCCTGACGACGAGCCTCGAACCGGCGGCGCTCCTCATCGGCAAGAAAAACACGGCGGAGCTCCTAGACGACGCCGATGAACCACCGGCGCCGGCGGCGAAGTTGGCCGTCAGAACAAACCCGGAAGATGCTGACGTCATCGCCATCTTCTGATATCTTCTACAGCTGGAGTTGTTTCCTTCGGAGGCGAATTTGTTTGGAAGAGAGTGTGTGTGTGATCCAAAGGCTATGAAGAGAAACCGGGGAGTTTTGGGGGCTAAACGAATCGTTTTCCTCCACTTGACATCTGCCACGTGTTCCCACTTCAGGATAATGTGCTGACGTGGCATTCATTCCCTCCCTTTTTTTTTGTCCCCGTATCTCCGTTGGTTTGTTATATTTCCCCTTGCATCCATAGAAAAGTTTTTATTTTTCTTATAGCTGTGAGTACGATACAAAAGTTTCCAAATTTATCGCATCTAACTATATATCTGAACATTTTGGCGTTATAGCAATGAGGGAAAAAATATTTTTATTTGTAAGTCGTTATAATTTTAAGTATTTATTCATTACCATCGTCATCATAATTTTAAAAGTTAGGTTGATGCTATTCAGGATAATTTTTATTTTGGGTTTTTGGTTTTAGTTTTTGGATTTTAGATTTTAATTTTTGGATTTTATAATATTTGAAAACTCAAAAAATAGTTTTTGATTTTTTATTGATTTTTTTCACTAAAATGGTTTTATAAAATGGTTTTATAAGTTTTTAGAAAAAGTAATTTTGTAAAAATTTGAATGGTAGTTTTTTTTTCGGATTTTAAAAACTCCAAAAACTTAAACCATTCAAGACTTAAATTTCGTGTTTTTTCATAAAAAAAAAATGCATGAAGCATAGTGTTCAATTCTTACATAAAAGGAGAAGATGAACCTCCATGACAAGATTGGAGAAAACATGTCAAAGAAACTCAATCGAGCTAAAAAGCTGAAGCGGAATTTAGGTTAAGAGAACCCTAGAGTTGGAAGCTTTTAAGGAAGACGATGATACTATCGGAGAAAGAGCGTATAATCCAAATGACATGGCTGACTTTCGTTTCTGTGATTAGTTTGAATCTTGATTTATGATACCCGGTTATAAAAAAAAAACGACGATACCATGGAGCAGGAAGCTCCAACGAACGGAGATTGAATTCGAGATCAGTATTCGATGAAGCTGGTTTCCACCGAAGCTTTCGCCTTGTAAAGGTGGTGCCTTTTTTGGTTTAGATAGCTCTTGTGCATCATGATTCATGTTTACGATTGTTGCGTCATCATCATCATCGCACACGAGTTGGTGGTTTTGGTCATGGTCATCACTTATGAAGCTCGTCTCTTTCTAATGAATGCTCCCTTTGAAAGCATATTATAGTAACATGACTTTAATTTAATTAATAAACATTTTGGTGATGATTAGGAATAGACACTTGAACCGACATATCCTATTATTAGAATCATGCATTTTATTTTTGTTTAGTTTATCTCCTTCTGACAATAATTATAAACTCATTGGATCCTGCCTGTTGTTGCTGATATTGTTGTTAATTATGTTGAATACCATATATTTAGATATATGTGAGAAATTTCAAAATATTAAAATTAAATATTGACCTAATTATGAATACGCGTAATAAGTGTCTAGCAACTCTTTAGTTTTTATGTTGTGGATAAAGTTTTGGAATTCCATGTCATTGATATATTACTTAATCCAAATCTCCATTATATATATATATATATATATATATATATGTAATGCATGGTTGGTGCTAGACATTACATGGAAGGTTGTTAAATGTGTGTGTCGAAAATGTTAGTTAATTAAAATTGAAAGATGTGACATCTTTAATTGAATCCTAAGCAACTCAAGGTTTCCATTCTTCACAATCAGTCTTCCAAATCCTCCAGTGTATATATTACATTTGTTTCCCTTTTAGTTAAGTTTTGAGAAAATAAATGTCCAATACATTCGTAATATAGATACAGAAATATTTTATTTTTTAAAAAAAGTTTCGGTGTGGGCCCAATGGGCGGCTTATTAATGCCTTTTCAGGAGAAACAGGTTGGGTTGAACCGCCCCGACCATCATGGCTCCTTGTCTGGACCGGTGGCTCGGTTACTTGTCAAGGATGGAGCGTTCCGTGGTGGTCTCCGTAATTTATTCGAACATTGGGGGCAGAGTCTTAAACTACCATCCAACCACACGCTTTCTTTTATCTTCTCGAGTTTTTTGTAGTCTATTAGTCGCCTTTACTCTTCGTGCTTCTCTCTTTAGTAAGTTAAGCGGCACTTCTCCGCTAAATCCCTTGCTACTCTCTCTAACTACATTTCATTTCATTTACATCTCTCTCTCTCTCTCTACGAGTTTCACTTCACTCGCTGAATCCTGAATCCTGAATCCGAATCTTCGTCCTCATTCTCGAATTGATCGGTTGGTGTTCCGGTAATCGGAGAAATCTGATCGGGAACTGCACGGATCTGACGGGAGAAGCCCCAGATCGGAGCAGTGGGAAACGTCGGCGGTTGGGATGGAGGAGGCGCTGGAACTGGCGCGTGCAAAGGATACAAAGGAGCGCATGGCGGCGGTGGAGCGGCTCCACCAACTTCTGGAAGCTTCTAGAAAGAGCCTGAGCCCGGCGGAGGTGACGTCGCTCGTCGATTGTTGCTTGGATCTCCTCAAGGACAGCAATTTCAGGGTCTCCCAGGGCGCGCTTCAGGCGCTTGCCTCTGCCGCCGTGCTCGCCGGTGAACATCTCAAGCTTCATTTGAATGCCCTTGTGCCCGCCGTCGTGGAGCGGCTCGGCGACGCCAAACAGCCCGTCAGGGATGCCGCGAGGCGGTTGCTGCTCACTCTCATGGAGGTAAATTCTTCTGAATTTAGGGATTTGAATCATGCCGCTGTGCATTTCCATTTTTAGAAATCCACCGACGGAGGAGCGATTGAGATTAAAATTGTGGGTTTTGTAGGTTTCTTCTCCCACGATTATTGTAGAAAGAGCGGGCTCGTATGCTTGGATGCATAAGAGTTGGAGAATTCGTGAAGAATTTGCGCGTACCGTCACATCGGCTATTGGTCTTTTTGCATCTACTGAGCTTCCGCTTCAGCGGGCTATACTTCCTCCGGTATTTTGATTCATGCTTCTTGTGTAGAACGAGTAATGTTTTGTTTTATTGATCGACCTGAAGCTGTTTGGACTAAATTTCCTGGGAATTTTGTTATGATCAGATCCTTCAGATGTTAAATGATCCAAATCACACCGTCAGGGAAGCTGCAATCTTGTGCATTGAGGTGAGTTAGCAGTAGCTTGGCATGGCTGCTTTGGGTATATCTGCTCTCAAATTACGTGAATAATTTCCTGGAATCCTCCAAGTTAGCTAATCTTGTATCTTAATCTGTAAAACAAAGGGTAGTACCTAGTGGTCCATCTTCACTTCCAGTATTCTTAGTCTATATTGGATGCACATATTGAACCCAAAGAAGTTCTGTTGAAGTTGAGTGGGCCGTTTCATTGTTTCCACGGGGTTTTGGTTATCTTCGTAGACTCCATGGTATACAAAAGCTCTGTTTTTTATTTGCATTTAATCTTACTATTCCATTCCTTTTTAGGAGATGTATATGCAGGGTGGGTCTCAATTCCGAGAAGAACTTCAGCGCCACCATCTTCCATCATCTATGGTGAGTTTCGTTTCAAAACTGATCCATGTGCAATCTAGCTAATATTGAAGTTGTTGTTCAGAGTATTTTTAAAACGAAAACCACAGTCTTGGAAAACCTATAACTCTTTCTATGGTTTGACAAAAATCAGGTGAAAGATATTAATGCTAGACTTGAGAGGATAGAACCGCAACAACAACGGTCTTCAGATGGGCTTAATGTTAATCTTGCTGTTAGTGAGGTTAAGCTACTAAGTATCAATCCCAAGAAAAGCACTCCCCGGGCGAAGACTTCGACTCGGGAGAACTCATTATTTGGGGGTTAGGATCTCTCTCTCTTTCTCTCTCTCTCTATATATATAAGATTATGTCTTCAGTGCTGTTGTCTATTGCCATCTTGGCTGAATAGCTTTACTCTTTACATTTCAGGAGAACCAGACATCGCGGAGAAACCCATTGAGCCAATAAAAGTGTACTCGGAGAAGGAACTGATCAGAGAATTTGAGAAAATTTCTTCAATACTTGTCCCAGATAAAGATTGGTCAATCCGCATAGCAGCGATGCAGAGGATTGAGAGCCTCGTTGCAGGAGGTAGTTCAACCATCTCTTTCTGTGTCTTTACTCTAAGTTAGCCACCTTTTCAGCAAGTCCTATCTATATATAGTAATGGATAAATCATCCCAATGCGTGTAATGTGAGGCTTATTCTGGTTATAAATGATATAACTTTCTTTCTTTAACCTACTAAGTTTATACTTGTGTTTTATTAATCATCCAAGGTCTACCAGGAGGTAGTTCTTATTGGGTTGTTATTTCTTTTAAGGTGCTGCTGATTACCCTTGCTTTCGAGGTCTCTTGAAGCAACTTGTTGGTTCTTTGAGCACACAGTTGTCTGATCGGAGATCTAGCATTGTTAAGCAGGTTAGCTATATTACCGGCTTTAGATTTTCCTTTGATACCCTTTTTTGTAGGATTGAGAATCTTAATGGATTTTCTTCATTTCCGATAAAGGAGAGAAAATCTGATTGTGTAAATAGACGGAGAAGACGTTTTTGTCTGGTACTTTGTTGATTGGGAAATTATTGTAGAAAACTATTGGCAAGGGTTGCAGATATGACACGGTGCTATTGGATACGGATCCAGTCTGGGAGAGCAGAAATTAGATTCACTAATCAGTATCTGCTGTAGTATTGACAAGGTTGCTTGTGCCTCGGTCTCCTTTCCTTAACTGTTTCAGATGTTAAGCTGCTTTTGGGTTTTTTTAGGCTTGTCACCTCCTATGTTTCTTGTCAAAAGAGCTGCTTGGAGATTTTGAATCATGCGCTGAGGTGTTTATTCCGGTAAAGCTCAACTTCATATCATTTACTGTTATAGCTTACAATGCATATATGTTCTTTGTTAATTTTATGATATGGTAATCAGGTACTTTTCAAGCTGGTTGTGATCACTGTGCTTGTAATTGCAGAATCGGCTGATAACTGCATAAAAACAGTATTGTTTTATTTCTTCTTTTGATTTCTAAAACAGTTGCCTCTTCTTCTAAATTTTATGCTTATACAAATACTTATATGCTTTCCAGATGCTGCGCAACTGCAAAGTTACCCGTGTACTTCCTCGCATAGCTGATTCTGCAAAGAATGACCGTAATGCAGTTCTCCGGGCGAGGTACGCTAGTCTTCTTGTTAGCCAGAGGATTGTCTGATGTAGTCTGTTGCTGATTACTTCCTGTTACAGATGCTGTGAATATGCGCTGTTAATACTCGAGCATTGGCCCGATGCTCCAGAAATTCAGCGGTCAGCTGATTTATATGAAGATCTAATTAGGTGCTGTGTTGCAGATGCTATGAGTGAGGTAGTTATATTAAATAATTCCAACCTGGGTCATCTATATGCATTTTCCTGATATCATATTTCATCTGTATGGGAAGGCAATGATTGGTTTTCTAATGTAAAATCTTTTATGTTTTATTGGATGCATGTTTGCAGCAGTAATACAAAATGATTCGTCTTTTCTTTCAATCATATAAGTTAATTTTATGGCCATCTCTTTCATTCTCCTGCATACTACATATGATTGTAACATGTAGAATGGCAGGTACGAGCAACTGCCAGAATGTGCTATAGAATGTTTGCAAGAACTTGGCCTGAGCGTTCTCGTCGCTTATTTTCTTCATTTGATTCTGTCATCCAAAGGGTATGTGTTATCGTCTTAAATTCTACTTGTTGGCATTGATAAAGGTTGATAAAGCAACCCATTCCCATCTTTTCTCAGTTGATTAATGAAGAAGAAGGTGGGATCCATAGGAGACATGCCTCACCATCTGTCCGTGAAAGAAGCTCTCAGCCTTCATTTACTCAGACATCTGCTCCATCTAACCTACCTGGTTATGGAACTTCAGCCATAGTTGCTATGGATAGGAGTTCAAGTTTATCCACCGGAGGGTCTCTTTCTTCAGGTCTACTCCTGTCTCAGTCAAAGGGTCTCAGTAAAGTTTCTGAACGTAGCTTGGAAAGTGTGTTGCAATCAAGCAAGCAGAAAGTCAGCGCAATTGAGAGTATGCTCAGAAGTCTGGATATATCTGATAGACAGAATCCTGCAGCTCTTCGTTCGAGTAGTTTGGATCTAGGTATTGTGCTTCTTTCCTTTTGAAACTATGTCTTGGTTCCTGAAAACTATGCAGAAGAGAAGGAATATCCATGAGCCAGCTAAATTGTCTTTTAATCTCCCCTAGTGCAGGAATTGACCCTCCATCATCCCGTGATCCTCCATTTCCTGCTGCTGTTCCGGCTTCGAATAGCCTCACAAGCTCCACAACTGGTAAATCAACTTCTTCTAGTATCAACAAAGGCAGTAGTCGCAATGGTGGTCCGGTTTTTTCAGATATCATTTCCCATTTTCAAGCTTCAAAGGATTCGGGAAGCCTATCATACCGTGGTAATCCGTTGTCTGAGTCTCACCCTAATTTTTCATCCTTGGCAGCTAAAAGGATATTGGAGAGACAAGAGAGAGGTTCTTTTGAGGACAACCATGAAAGGGAGGCTAGACGGTTTATGGGTGGTCATTTCGATAGACAACACATGGATACCCCCTACAGAGATTTGAACTTCAGGGATTCAAATGTTAGTCATGTTCCCAATTTCCAGAGGCCACTTTTGAGGAAGAATGTAGGAGGACGAATGTCAGCAGGCAGAAGGAGGAGTTTTGATGACAGCCAACTTCAACTCGGGGACATGTCTAATTATGTCGATGGGCCAGCATCTCTGATTGAAGCCCTCAATGAAGGGCTTAGTCCGAGTTCTGATTGGTCTGTCAGAGTTGCAGGTTTTAATTTTCTCCAATCTCTGTTTCAGCAAGGCCCAAAAGGTGTTCAAGAAGTGATCCAGAGTTTTGAGAAGGTAATGAAACTTTTCCTACGTCACTTGGATGATCCTCATCACAAGGTTGCACAAGCGGCTCTGTCGACACTTGCAGATCTTATACCATCCTGCCGAAAGCCTTTTGAGAGCTACATGGAAAGGGTCCTACCCCATGTTTTTTCACGGTTAATTGATCCTAAAGAGCTGGTCAGGCAACCTTGCTTTACAACACTGGATATTGTCAGCAAAACCTACAGTGTGGATTCTCTTTTACCTGCACTCCTTCGTTCACTAGATGAGCAGAGATCACCAAAGGCTAAATTAGCTGTCATTGAATTTGCTATCAACTCCTTCAACAGGTACTCTGGTAATCCTGAAGTTTCTGGTAATAGTGGAATCTTAAAGCTATGGCTGGCAAAACTGACACCACTAACTCGCGACAAGAATTCTAAGTTAAAGGAAGCTTCAATTACCTGCATCATATCTGTCTACAATCATTATGATTCCTCTGGTGTGTTGAATTACATTCTTAGTCTATCGGTTGAGGAGCAAAACTCTTTGAGAAGAGCTCTCAAACAATATACTCCTCGCATTGAGGTGGACCTGATGAACTATCTGCAGAGCAAGAAGGAAAAACAGAGAATGAAGTCTTCGTATGACCCATCTGATGTTATAGGGACATCTTCTGAAGAAGGATATGCAGGTGCTTCCAAAACGAGTATCTTCCTTGGTAGGTATTCTGGCGGTTCTATCGACAGTGACAGTGGCAGGAAATGGAGCCCTTCTCGGGAGCTAACAATGATCTCTAGCGGTATTGGTCAAAGTATCTCCACTGGAACTCAAGAAAAGTTGTATCAGAACCTTGGTATTGGGATAAGTTCTGGAAGTGATGCATCGAAGCCCAATGATACGAGTTACACAGTTACTTCAGCTGGTCAGAATATTTTGTCAAGAACTATCCATAACAAAAGTTTGGACGATGTTGGAAACTTAGATAGTGTATCTCCGTCCTATCTGGAGAAAAATGGTCTGAATTTGACAAACAGTGGTTCCTCGGAAGAAAGACTTGAAAACAAGGTTTCCCACGAGTTGGACTTGAGTGACTACAAGCTTGCAACTATTAAGGTTAACCCTGCAATGGAATCTGGTCCTAGCGTTCCTCAGATTCTTCATATGGTAATTCATGGTCTTTACTTATTTCAAATACCATGAACATTATCTTTCTGTCAGATAAAATCAATTTGTAATGGTTATGCTATTCTGCAGATCAACGGGAGTGATGAAAGCCCTTCTGCAAGTAAGAAATCTGGACTCCAGCAATTAATTGAAGCCTCTATAGCTAACGAGGAATCAGTTTGGGAAAAGGTACGGCTAATGATCCTTGGATCAACCACTTGGTGCACAGCTGTAGCGAGTTGATCCTTACCACTCATAACTTAAACACTTACAAATGCTGTTTATCCTTTTTTATTAAAGACCAGAAAGACGGAAAGTAATACAAATGACGAAAATTTAAGTAGGAGTTCCATGAGATATACGAGTCTAAAAGTGGGGAAAATGAGAAAATTTTGGTTTTGGTATATCAAATTGATCTGACTGATTTCATTTTTTATATAGGTTTTGTTTATTAAGCTTTGAATATGCCAAAGCATGCTCTGGTTTTAAACTTCCAGTTCCTGCTTTTTTGACTGGCTAGTTTTGTCGGTGCTTCTCTCTCTCTGTTTTGAATCACCATGGTGCCTTAATCGCATACTTGTTTGTCAATCCTCATGGCTGGTTCCCATTGTTTCTTCTGCAGTACTTCAATCAAATTTTGACTGTTGTTCTTGAAGTGCTGGATGATGGAGATTCATCAATTCGTGAGCTTGCTCTTTCATTGGTTGCCGAAATGCTCAAGAATCAGGTTTGTGACATTTACACAACTTGATCAATTAGTAAATCTCCAACATGGTCTTGGATGATGAGGAATTAACTGGATACCTGCTTGCAAATATTCTTCTGAATAATCTCAGAAAGGCACCATGGAAGATTCTATCGAGATAGTGATTGAGAAGCTGCTTCATGTCTCAAAAGATGCTGTTCCGAAAGTAATAGATGATCCATCCATTCTGAACAATGCTCTCAGTGTATCATCCCATTTATAATCTTCATATCTCATGGTGCCACTGTAACCATTTTCAGGTTTCCAGTGAAGCTGATCAATGCTTGACCACAATGTTGTCACAATACGACCCTTTCAGATGCTTGAGTGTAAGTTCCTATTTTTTTTTTCCCCCTTTTTACTGCCATTTTCAGTTTTGAGTTTCGATTTCAATTGAGTTGATGCGTTGAGAGGTATCATGACAACTTGCTTCAGGTGATTGTCCCGTTATTGGTAACTGAAGATGAGAAAACTCTAGTCACTTGCATCAACTGTTTAACAAAGGTACTTACTTTATCCTGACTCTGTGCTATAAACATTCTTCGAATTACTTTAGCCTAAGAGAGTCATTCAAAAAAAAGAAAAAGAAGATAAGCTATTAACTGCATCTTTTACCATGTAACAGCTTGTGGGTCAACTCTCGCAAGAGGAATTAATGGCTCAGTTGCCTTCGTTTTTGCCATTTCTTTTCGAAGCATTTGGGAACCAAAGTGCAGACGTCCGAAAGGTGACACACACTGCCAATGATTCTCTCAAACTAAGATTGACAGTGCATTGGGGGTGTATGTATTAATGGTTGGAATGTGCAGACGGTGGTGTTCTGTCTGGTGGACATATACATAATGCTGGGAAAAGAGTTCGAGCCCTTCTTGGAGGGACTAAACAGCACGCAGCTTCGACTAGTGACCATTTACGCCAATCGTATCTCTCAGGCTCGAACTGGTGCCCCTCTTCACTCTTCCCCTTAACCCTTCTGCTCTCTGTTGTGTTTTTGTTTTTGCCTGCTTATTTCTTTCTCTTTCATTTTGTATATGTGTCTGTGTGTGGTTCCATTTTTTTCTTTAATTTTCACATTAGGGTTTGTCTCTCTGTTTTTATTTTTCCTCTTCACTTCACCATATGCTTGTTTTTTTTTTAAAAAAAAAATTGGAATTGTGTTGCTGTATTTTCCCCCCGGGGGAACCTATATCATGCGTTTTGGAATTTTCTTCTTTTTGTTTTGCATTGTTTTTTGAAGTTTCTGGTGCTTTGGTGATTTGAGGTGCAAAGAGTGCTCTCATTAGTCTTTTTTTTTTAATTATTATTATATATAACCCATCAGAGACTCTCTCTCTCTCTCCGTATCCCATTTTGTTTTCAATGGAGTTTAATAAATTCTTAGGTTGTGAGCCTAGTGGCCTATAAATAGGAGTGAACATAATTTTCTATTCGTATCCGAATAAAAAATTCGTATATCATTTTTTTTAAATACAGATGTTTATGATCCATAATTGTTTTTTAATTTTGAACTTTGAATACGATTGAATGCAACAAATTATGATTGGATTTGTATTTGAATTGATTTAAGATGTTTATGTTATGAATTTTGAATATCATTTATATTTAATGAATTATGTATTTTATATGCGTTTGAGTTTGTTTTGTAATTTTATTTATAATTTTATATCATTTTTTTAGATCGAATATGGATATTTATAAATATCCATAGTTTTTACGAATATATAAAATCGCGAGTATCCAAAAATTGCAAATCGGATACAAATAACAAAATTGTATTTTGTACACATTGGATTTGGATTTGGATATAGATATCTAAAAAATCTTAGAATATTTGATTTATGACTACCACTACCTAAAAATACGAATTTTAAAAAAATTATATTAAATCGCCAATTTTATTATTCCTACATAAAATCATAAACTTTTAAAAATTTGGGTTCATGATTATATATAGGGATGGCGAATTCGGGTTTCGCTTTGGTTGTATTCAGATTCTGTTATTTCGGTTATAGAACAACTATAACCATTCGGTTTTTATATAAATTTCGGTTCGGTTATTTTTCGGTTCGATTTCGGTAAAAAGTTTAGTTTTTCAAAGAAATTGTCGGTTATTTTTTTGGGTTTTTCGGGTTATTTTTTATTCAGTTTGGTTCGGTTCGGTTTCAGTTTTTTCGGATTTAAAGAAATCATAACTGTTCGGTTTTTATGTTGGATTCGGTTCGGATACGGTTATATCTTATTCGGTTCAGTTTGGCTCGCTTATTCGGTTAATAACCGAAATGACCACTCCTACCTATATATCTATAGAAGTTATAAAATTCATAATTTTATACAGAATTTTTTTAAGAGAAATTCTAATTTTTAGATGATTGTCCATATATATTATATATATAGCACTCAATCATCATTTATCCTTTTTTTTTTGTAAAGGTTAATTGTATTGATAATGAGTCATATTACTTAAATCCTCGAATGTATTGAGTAATTACATAGATATGCATAAATCTTGAATAGGGTAGGAGTTGTTAGGCTAAAGGTGAAAGCAATAACTCGCAAAGGCGAGATCGTTGGGAACTTTGGTCATATGTACACGCCGATTGGATGTTCTATCTAAAGATCATTGGGAAACCTCTGAGACTAGCAAATTCCGAAACCTCTGATTGAGCCTGAGGGGTCTAAAAAATGCAACAGAACGCCAAAAGCCTCGAATCAAAAAGACGATTGATCCCATGCTCCTCGCGATGGTTTGCTTAATTTTTTTTAATCCGTAAATATTCCTCCTTATATATATATATATATATATGAATCAATGATTACACAAGTTTTGTTAGTGGCGATGAGACAAAACCCAGGTTAATACTATTGCCGCCATTATTTACGATCCAGACACCATTGCCGCCATTATTCTTATTATTATAACATGTTACTATCATCGTCATCATCAATCGTCACTATTGCCGTCATTTATTTATTTATTTATTTATATATTGGGGAACTCCGTAACTACCCACCCTTACAAACGGATACGAACTGGCCACCACCCGCGCCTAACAGTCCCCGGTCGGACCTGGCCACCAGGCGCGCCTAACGCTCAGACCGTAGTTGGGCTTAGGCGCCTGCGGGTCAAACTCCAACCCCACGCGCATGAGCCAACAACACACGCGTAGGAGATAAATCAGCCCATTATGATAGGTTGACAGACGAACAAATCAGAGGAAGGGAGACGGCAGGATTCGATCCCCCATCTCAAGGAGTTGCCCCCTGCTCCCCATCTCAAGAAAACATTACCCTTAATAATATAACATAATAATATAGGTATATTTTCCAAATACAATTAATAATAGATGACTTGCATGTAGTACTATGAAATTGAAATAATCATTTTTCACATGATATATATATACGGATAATTTTTAAGAACATAAAAAAAAAATCCAAAATAAGTAAAGAATATTAAAATTCTAAATATTTGGCAACCTTTCTTAATGTCGAAGCCGTGGCTAAATGGTGTTCCCAATAGACAGCATCAGTGTGTGGGGGCAGCGGACAGTCAAATATCATCTCCATGCATTGCACACATACCACAAAAAAAGAATTTAAAAAAGGGGATTAAGGGTAATGTTTTCTATGTGTGTGTACGTATATATATACATATATATAGACACAGAGAGACATAGTTTTTATACGGAAACGACTTATGGGAGAATGGAGAGAGACGTTTACATAGAGTGAGCTTATCCTCTGCGACCCTTTTCTTTTTTTACACTGACTTCCAAGTTCCAAGAACCATTCTCCGTCAGGAGAAAGCCGTTATTTTTCATCTGGATCTTTCCTCTCCCTAAAGCCGTTATTTTTCATCTGGAGATTTCCTCTCCCTCTCTATTTATATATATATATATATATATGCAGTGAGTTCTTACCTGAGAAATAGCAATCTGGCTTCTTCGTTTGGAGGGTGCACAAATGGATGATGATTTCTTGCCTGGCGGTTACTTTGACTATGAAATCCCTGCTTCTTCATCTTCTTCCTTGAATCATCCCTCAAAATCCGCCATGTAAGAGCTCCTTCTTCATCCATTTCTTCTTCTTTGATTCTGATTTAGGTGGTGTTCTTTTCAATGGCTTAGGGTGGAAGAAGAACGAGAAGAAGATATCATGAAGATGCTTTGCCACAACGGCCAGGCAGTTACGACATCCTATCCTCCGCCTCATCAGAATCTCTTCATCCATGAAGACGAGATGGCCTCTTGGCTACATTATCCTCTCCACCAGCACGATTTCTCCCCCGATCTCCTCGCCTCTGCCTCCGCCTCCACCGTTCTCAACGAGCCGCCGCCACTGAGACCGACCAATCAGGTTTTCGCTCCGAGGCCACCGGTTCCAGCGGAGAACAGGACGGTGAACCAGCCGAGGACTGTACGAAACTTCGAGAACTTCTACAAATTGAACAGTACCACCGGCCGCGGCGTTGAACTCGGACAACCATCGTCGGCGTCCGCGGTGGTGAGAGAATTTCCTACGTCAGCCCCATCCGAGGTGTCGCAGCGGGCGGAGGGTGCAGACACTGGATGGACGATCAATAGCGGAGCCAGCTTCGTCGCATCAGGCGGCGGCGCTGTGATCTCCGAGACATCGTCTTCGAAGGGCAAGGCGGAGCAGACTTTCTCACCGACGGAGTTCGCCGGAGACCGGAAGCGGAAGGGAAAAGAAATCACTGACGAAACCGAGTGCCGGAGCAAGGTGAGTCGAGGTGCGAGTCGCTGTTCCTCCGTTTTCCACCGCGTTCGGCTTGGCTATCTAGCACCGCCATGGCTGCGCAGGTTAACGTGGACACCCGTGGCGCGCCCCGTATGATTCGGCGCATTTTAGTACCTAGTCTCACATGTGTGAGTTGTAGACGTGGCCGTGCCACGTGTACCTTTTTAAAATTAACCCGGATAAAAAAAAACGTCATCAAGACAGTAAAAAAAAAACAAAAATGTTAAAACTTTTTTGGTTTGGGAAACGTTCTCTGTTAAAATCAATCCTTCTCTCTGTTTCCAGGGAGCCAAACAAGAATCCAAGAGAAGGTATCGATCCGCACAAGTTCATAATCTTGCTGAAAGGGTTTGTAGCTTTTCGTCCAATCTCTGCATACTTTTGAATTCGTCTATTTCTTTGCCGTAAAATCTTTTGTAATGTGTTGCAGAGACGGAGGGGTAACATCAACGACAAGCTGAGGGCTCTGAAGGAAGTTATGCCGCACTGCAACAAGGTCTCTTGTACAATTCGTGAAACTTGTCGTTCAAGTAATGTACGCTTGGTTCTGAATTTGATATTGCTTGCATCTCTTTCGGTCGGGATTTCAGTCGGACAAAGCATCCGTGCTGGATGAAGCTGCCGAATACACGAGATGTCTTCAGCTGCAAGTGCAGGTGTGTGTCTTGTGAAACACTGTTGTCTCGACATAAAGATTTGTCTTTTAATGCTCCATCCATCCATGCACAAGCATTGCCATGTCGTCAACAACATTTGACCATACTATGAAGGACGTCAAAATTATGGTGAGGTATTAGGCCTGAAATCAATCAATTTTTACACAGATGATGTCAATGGGGTATCATGGTATGCACCAGTACATGCAGCTCATGCCAATGGGCATGAATCTGCCCATGCCAGCCATGGTTCATAACCATATGCGCCGCCAACCATTTCCAACCCCACCCTACCCTGTCTCGTCCAGAGTCCATATACCGAGTCAGCACGCAGACCCGGCGATGCAATCACTCCAGCCGTCGTGGCAGCAGCCCTTCCCGGGTTTCTTTGAACCATATCAGCAGTTTCCTGGTCTCGATCCTATGCAAGCGTCCATGTTGCCGGTACTTTATCCAAACCCTGTTCCTGGTTTCGCTTATGAAGGTTTCCTTGAATAATAAACTGTGATGGCTGAGAAAAAGATGCGCTTTTTATTCCCAATGGCAGAATCAAGAAACGGAGCAGGCGAGTTCCAGCGAGTCAAGCAGTAGTAGCAAGTAACGCGGGGAGGATGAAGAGAGCCCGTCATCAGGTAGTAACACTTGCCCTTTCTTCAGATGCACAATGAAACCTGACGCGGTTCTTGCAGATGAAGAACATAGTTTGGGTACAGCTCCCTAAAAGAAAAAACAACCTTTGTATATGAAAGACGAAACACGAACTCAACTGACAGATTAGATTTTGCATGGCATTTCAGGTTGACGTTTGGAACAGAGAGTCAACGCGAGATGAGAGAGACAGAGAAGGGGGGGGGGGGGGGGGGG